ATGACATACCTTGCTTTATATCACTATAATTCTCAAACCGTCAAGCAACTTGCGACGGTTCTAAAATCAAAATTTAATCCAAGATATATATCTTTCTAACAAATTGAAATTATTTGGATTCCATTTGGTGGTTTAAAGATTCGTGTCAAATAAGGTGATAATAAAGAATTTTATCAACACTACCCACAGTGACATACTTTCATAAAACGAAGTATAACTTTCAATCTAAGGAGAATTTAAAAATAGTTTCTACATGCAATTTTAGCCCATTCAAAGATCTTTCGAATGGATGTGGTTTGACCGAAAATGGATTTTTTTTGGTTAGTTAAAATCAGTGACCATAGTAGTACTGGTGGAAAATCCAGAAAAACAATCAACAATGATCTAACCTCTCATTTTGAAATATAACTTCATTTCCATAAGGAATTTCATCAGTGAGCAAAAATGAACATTTTACTATACTCGTACCTATTTTCAATGGCAGAAATTTGTGGTCGATCGAACCCCATTTGATTGTTCAAAAGCCTTTTTCAAAAACACATATATTCCTGGAATTTCACAGTGGCATATAACATATCTCAAAAACACATTCCATGACCTTCATTCCATAGTGAAGAACATGGTTAAAACTATTCTCTCACAATGTATACACTTAACATGGATTTCTTACATGATCTAATAATCATACATTCATTCTTAGCATCTATCATTTTCATAGAACAAAAGCCCTAATTTTCAGTGAACAAGACATTAGGAATTTCTTCATCACATACACTTTCATTTCTCATTTAACATGTATAAATTCCCATACATCCTTATGATTACAATGCAATGGTGATGGGTCCACTTACCTTGGATGTGTTTTGCCTCCAAAAACCTTATTCCACAGCTTTCTTTAACCCCTAAAGGGCCTGTTCTAACAGTGAGCTAAAGGGAAGCTCCTTCTTAGCTCTTGGCTTAGCCTTAGAGACAGAGAGAGATGAGGAAGAAGTAAAGTGGCGTGAGAGTGAGAGGAGAGGGCTTAAGTACCCTGTGGCTGGGTGGCAGTCCAAGAGGCGCCACGTGGCGTGAAATAGGACAAGTGGCACGCTTGACATTATACACTCAGCAGGTGGCGCTCACTGTCCATGCACGACAGTGACACACGTGGCGCTACTCCATCTCTCTCCTCTACAAAGTGGCGCTGGCCTCTCTCTCTTCTATACAGTCGGCACTGGCCTCTCTCTCTACACAGCTGGCACTGGCCTCTGTCTCTTTTACACAGCCAGCGCTGGCCTCTCTCTCTACACAACCGGCACTGACCTCTTTCTCTACTACACAATGGGCGTTGACCTCTCTCTACACAGCCGACGCTGGCCTCTCTCTCTTTCTGACTCAAAAAAGTATTGGGTTGCTACAGTAGGCCTAAGGTAACCTTACCCATTGAGTCATACTTTTATTATTGGTATATATAAACTTTCTTAAATTTAACTATATATAATTAATAATTGGGTTGCTACAGCAGGCATAAGGTAACCTTACCCATTTAGTTTTGCTTTTATTAGGGTAAATTACATCTTATACCTCCCTCTTAATCTTTCTTGATATAAATTTTTCTATTTTAGTAAAATTAAAACATTAAATTTGAATCTGGTCCAATCAACTCGAGAGGGCCAGAATCAACAGACCCATTCAGATTAAATCCGCGGTCTTTAAGATTGGTAGTAGTGATTTTAATAGGTGTAAATGTGTGCTGGATCATGTTGGAGTCCTTAAGTGTCATTAGGACTTGGGCTATGACATGGACTTGACAAGTCTAGTCCAGGTCTAGGGTCCTAGTTATGAAACCTTGTTCGATTGAGCCCAAGTCTAAGGTATCCTCACTTGTTGATCCTAATTTTATTATTAGTATATCTAAACTTCAAAAATTCAACTATATATAGTTAATAATAGGGAAGTTATAAAAACTATATCTTAATTGTTTTCAATTGAAAAAAAACCCTCAACTTTCATAAACCTCTTCCACACCCTTTTTTCTCAATTTTGACATTTTTTTGTTTGTCAAAATAGCCTACACGATAGTCGTATTACTATGAATGCTCTATCATTATGGTACTTTAAGTAATGTAATGCAGTTGTCATTACGGTAATACGATTACCGTGAAAGCTATTTTGGTAAAAAAAAATGTCAACATTGAGGAAAAAGAGTGTAGATGAAGTTTATGAACATTGAGAGTTTTTTTTCTAATTAGGTGAAAATTAAGTTATATTTATGATAATTTCCCTTAATAATAAATATATATTAATTTATTCATATTGCACTCTTTTAGTATCCATTTTATTAGGGTAAATTACATCTTGTACCTCCCTCTCAATCTTTGTTGATATCAATTTTTTCTATTTCAATAAAATTGGAATATCAAACTTGAATTTGGTTCTATCAACTAGCCAGTGCCAGAATCCACAGACCCAATTATGTCAAATCTTCATTCTTTAAGTTTGTTAGTAGTCTGATCTAGGTTGGTGTTGGATTCCTTAAGCTGCATTAGGATTGCGGCTATAACATGGACTTGTCGGGCCCGGTTTAGGTCTAGGGTCCTAGATGTGAAACCTTGTCAGGTTGGGGTCATGTCTAGGGTATCCTTACTCGTTGAGCCCTAATTTTATTATTAGCATATCTAAACTTCAAAAATTTTACTAGATATAGTTAATAATTGATATATTCATTTATTTATATTCTACTAGTTTTAGTACCCCTTTTATTTGGGTAATTTACATATTATACCTTCCTCTCCATCTTTCTTGATAACTAATCTTTCTATTTTAATAAAATTAAAACATAAAACTCGATTTTGGTCCGATTAACTGATCAGGGCCTAAATCCTCAGACGTAATCATGCCAAATTTGCGTTATTTGAGCATGGCAGTAGTTAGATTTGGGTGGGTGTAAATGTGTATTGAATTAGGTGGGAGTCCTTATGCGATATTAGGACTAGGGCTATGCCATGGACTTGGCAGGTATAGTCTAGGTCTAGGGTCTTAGATGTGACCTTGTCAGGTTGGATCTAAGTCCAAGGTATCCTTACCCGTTGAGTCCTAGTTTTACTATTAGTATATCTAAACTTTTAAAAAATTAAGTCTATATAGTTAATAATTGATATATTCATTTATTTTTATTGTACCGCTTTTAATATCGCTCTTGTTAAGGTAAATTAAATCTTATATCTTCCTCTTAATCTTTCTTTATATTACAATTTTGTATTTTAGTAAAATTAAAACATCAATTTTGAATTTGGTCCAATCAACTCGCCTGGGCCTGAATCAACAGACGCAATCGGGTCAAATTCGCATTCTTTAAGGCTTGTTAGTAGTCTGATTATGAGTAGGTGTAAATGCGTGCCGAATCATGCTGGAGTCAATAAGTTGCATTAGGACTTGGGCTGTGATATGGACACGACAGGTCTGTTCTAGGTCTAGTGTCCTAGTTATGAAACCTTGTCCAGTTGGTTCCAAGTCCAAAGTATCATTACTCATTGAGTTCTAATTTTACTATTAGTATATCTAAACTTAAAAAATTCAACAATATATATATTTAATAATTGATATATATATTTATTTATATTATACTCTTTTAGTATCCCTTTTATTAAGGTAAATTACATCTTGTACCTCCCTCTCAATCTTGTTGATGTTAAAATTTTCTATTTTTGTAAAATTAAAACATCAAACTCGATTCTGGTTCGATCAATTGACTAGGGCCTAAATCCAAGGACATAATCATGCCAAATTTACATTCTCTGAGCTTGTTCTGAATTCACGGATGTAATCATGTCAAATTTACGTTCTCTGAGCTTGTTAGTTGTCCGATCTAGGTAGGCATAAGGAGTCGTTAAAGCTGCATTAGGACTAGGGGCATGTTATGGCTTACTTGATCTGAACACCACCCATTTAATATCTTCTCGAGATGATCAATTTGAAAGTTATCCGATACTAGAACCTCCTCTCTATATATTTTATGATATGTAGATTTATTTTTTTTGAAGACCCTGGCGTTAGAGTCCATTTAAATAGACAGTGTACTCCAGCGGGAGCACAAATCTTTTGAGCGGTCTATTGTCATCACAAAGTTGATGCTTAAATCAGATATTACTAACTATCCCAAGGGTGATTTTGTAACTGTCTTAAGATATCGGTTCTTAATGCTTCTCTCTGCATCCGAAAACCCCAGGCCATAACCCCTCTCTCTCTCTAGCTCTCTCAAATCACTTTCTCTCTCTAGAAACCTTAGAGAGGGGAAAACCCTATTTCATCAACCCCTCTCTCTCTCTCTGTATCGGCGGTTAATTGTCT